AATTTTGTCTATTTGGGGCAGAATCCCCAAACAACAAATTCCAGTTAATTTGTAACAAATTGGCGCCTACAACGTGTTTTAAAAGTCCTTATTTTGTGCAAAGTGAGGTTTTTAAATATCCTTTCTGACAGACTCTAACTTTCTGCTTTATCTTGGTATTTCTGGTGACTTCTGCAATTTTTTTTTTTTAATTTTTTTTTTCTTTTGATTTATTTGATTATTATTCTATAATTTTCAAAACTTTATCTCATTACGTTATCTTTTATCTTTGACTATATTTTCCAAATTTTATATATACAGACAAGATGGCGAACTGTTGTTCAATGGTTCTAAGAAAAATATTGTCCAGTATCCAAGTTTAAAAAAAAAAAAAAATTATTAAGCCCTTTCCAAAAGCAAAACTTAATTTAAATAAGTATAATAGGATTGAAATTCAAAAACAATTAATAGATACCTACGATGAAATTTTACCTAAGTATAAATGATAAAGTTATAATACCATTAACCTTCAATTTTTGACTCAAAGTCAATCAAATCAATAGAAACAAATTCATAAATGCAGAAAGGTAATAAATAATCCCTAGGGAGTCAAAATTATCAAAAACCTATAATCAAAAGTATCGGGGAGAGCTCTACCGTTTTACCTGTAATTAAAATTCAAAATATGTAACCATGAAACTTAAATTTAACTACCTAAAGATTTTACATTGGTTTACCTTGTAGAATTACCACCTTATTGATTTGAAATTAATGGTTAAATTAACCTCTAAAAGTTAATGAATCCTCAATATATTACATCGATCAGTATTCGATATAAAATAAATAAATTTGTAATAATTATAATAATCCATAATTATTGGATACTAGATAAAGGTAACGAAAAAGATAATAAAGGTAGTTATCTGATTACGATAATGATTAATTAATCAATTAAAAATTATATTAAACTGTAGTTAGCTATTTCAACTAAATACTACAATACGGTAAATAAGTCGGTAATTATTATTTATTTACAATCATACATGTAATGTTGACTTTACTGACTTTTAAAAAGTTTGAAAATGTCACTTTTTTGACTTTTGCTTTCGGCCCACGGGTCGAAAGTTTACTTTCGACCCGTGGGCCGAAAGTAAATGAAATTGTTAATTATTGTATTTTTTTGGTTTCAATTCAAATAAAGATATAAAAATTTGAATGATTGTAAATAAAATAGTATACATACCTCGGTGAAAAGTTTCATTACTGTCTCGACAGTAATGAAACACTTTCCACCTCGGTATGTAATATACTATTACAAAAGATATTAATTAGCTAATAAAGCTAATCGATAGTGGGCAGTAATGGTAAGTAATTTACGGGACCCATAGGTAAATAATTATACAAGCCTGGACGGAATCCTTGGAGGCTTTCGCAAATTTGAGATCTAGAAGCACCAAACTGGCTGGAGGCAATCAAACCATGGTCGCGGATCAACCTCTTACGGGACACAAACGTTCCTTGTAGAGGGGGCCCAGATTTATTCTGAGATATAGAACCACATGGTCTCAAATTTGTCAATTTTCTCTCAGAGGTGCAACCATGGATTTTTTCGTCCTCGCCAAAGTTGCCTATACGAATTGAAGAAATATAAGGACTCATTCATCAGAGAGAAAAAGGGATTTACATACCTGAACGGCCGATATTAACCTCACTTTTCAAAATTTTCACAAAAATCAACAATCTGTTGATTTTCCAAGAAACGTTCCAGCTGACATGATTACTCACTCTTCTGGCTAGTTAATTTATAGAACTCTGGGCTCGATGGCCAAAAATAAAGACAGAATTTTAAGATTTTTTAAAATTCAAAATTTGGACGACCTTTTCGGTCCTACGACAAAATAGAGAAGAAGTCCGAAGTACCCAGATGGTTCTGTCCTTTGTTTCTTGATCTGTCAAGCCTGTCCAAATTATAAAAATGACAGCGCTACAGGTTCACTTAGAAATAACCTTAGCTCGAACGGCTGGAGTGCGAATGGAGTCACTCGGAGTGCACCGAGTGAGCAAGCCGAATCCAAATCTTAATAACATAATTTTCGGTATTAGGTTAGGAAACTAGTCAGAAGAATCATAGATGTCGCTAGGTGTACGAAATAGTACTTTTAAACATTGTTTAAATGAGTCCAAAATATATGAAAATAATTAAGAACAATAATTATATTATTGTGACATTTCTAATGTTACACTGTTGAGGCGATCGTATGGAACCTTTTTGTGGTTTTCTAATGTTCAGTAGTATTGTTCATTGGCACCCACTGTTTAGTTTTTGCAATTATTGAATTCTCTTATCTCTTAATATCTAGTATAGGTAGCGAATAGTACTTCTCTAGCGATCCCGGCGAAAGAAAGTCTGTGCACGAACACAGCGCTCCTGCCTTCGTGAACTCTTGATTTGTCTTATTTCCTGATCCAAGGGAAATCTCGTCCTTACCTGACATTCCATATAAATTCCCAATTTCCATCCCTGTTTAAAAGTAAAGTCTCGAGTAAAGTATTCTGGCTCCTAAAGCATCGAATAATTGAAAGTAAAGTCTCGAGTAAAGTATTCTGGCTCCTAAAGCATATAATGATTAAATAACTGTGTCATGACATAACTTTTATCTCTATCTTTATCTTTTGTTTCAATAGTATCATCATGATTTATCTTTGTATCTTTGCCGATTAGGACATTTTGTTGTATGTCAGGCATATAGTTGCTTGAACATATTATCTTTTATCTCTGTCTAATCGATTTACCATTTTTCATGGATGTATATGACGTCAAGAGTTATTTTAGTATCTTAATTGATTTTAATTTTTTATTCATACCATGTCATTGTCATTCACTCATTCCTCAACTTTACTATCTCACCCATATCTTACCTTACCCTAACTTCCCTTATTTTTTTTTTAAGATCTTATCTTTTATTTTTTCATTACCTAAGTTTATTTTTTGGTCTTATTGACATGTCTTAAACTATACCGATTAAATCATTAATTACATTCATATTTTTTTCACCTTTCAATATTCAATTTTTTTTATTTAACTTTTTCTGTTTTAGTTATGTTGTTGTGAATGTCTGTTTTGCTATTGCTGCTGTCGCCTTTCTTTAGGGAAAGCTTTGCTTTTCCTGAAGAACAACCAAAATTTGATTTTTTTTATTTATTGATTACCGTGCGCACCGCTCCGGTATGTGGTTATCTAAAGTTTTCTCTTATACGAGCTGCTCAACTTCTGTTTAAGTGATTTTTCTTGTCCGTTGGGGAAAATCAATTGGACAGGCTTTTGTGTACCACCTTATTGACATAGGCTTGGTAGCAGGAGTTAGAGTCGGGCGGTTCTTTGAGAATAGCGGTTAATTGGGAAAATTGCATGCCTAGGTGTGTTCGTCCGCACACTGACTTCTTTTCTATCCCTTCTTGATTGAGCTTTTTTACGGATAACTTGTATGTGGCGGCTGATCCCCGTTGTATGCAAGGGATGAAAGGTCTCTCTTACTTCCTCTCGGGAACCCCGCCCAGAACGAAATACTTAACGTATAAATTGGCGTTTCAATCTTTCCACTGTTTGGGTCTTTCCCATACAGTTTCGCTCTTCTGTATTGTCCCGTCTAACTTTTCCTTTAGTTTTAGTTCACAGGAATAGCAAAGCCAAATAGACAGTCTATCCGTCATGGTTTCCTTCTTTTTTTTTATATTAATATTTCTTTTGTTTATAATTTTTGGTTGTATTCATGTCAAGTTCTTTAGCAGGCCCCTACCTTACTTCTGACTTACCAATTCGAGCTTTTTCCCCATTTGTGACCTACCAATTATGACTTCTTGCATAAAGACGGATGATACACGTTAGTTATCAGGCTAAAGAAATTCTTGATAAAAATTCACCATATGGTTCTACAATTTATCTTTCCCTTTTATAATTTCCTTCTCTTCTTTGTTTTCATTGTCGGCATTGTAAAAAAAATATATACTTATATCTTTTTTCGAAAGGGGGCAGTGTAACATTTGAAATGTCACAAAAATATATTTATTGTTCTTAATTATTTTTATATATTTTGGACTCATTTAAAAGTACTATTTCGTACACCTAGCGACATCATTATTATCGGCCGTTCAGGTATGTAAATTCTTTTTTCTCTCTGATGAATGATATTCCCTCAATTCATTCAGGCACCTTCGCCAGGACGGAAAATCCGTGAAGGTACTTTTCCAAGTGAATGTCAGATAGATATTGGATTTATTTTATTTTTTCAGATTTTTGAATTCATCTTTTTAAATAATAGCTAATTATTTGAATCGTGTCTAGTTTGGCTATTCATTGGTAATCAAAATAATTTTATATAAACTAGTGGCGCCCTCCCTTTACTGTACCAACACCAAGGACCACCCCAAGCTAAAGAACCACTGAGCATAGTCGAGCATAATTTGTTTCGACAAAAGAGCGTTACACTAAGCTGAAAAATACTAACTGTAATAAATGTATATAGGGTTATTGTGTTGATTAGTTTAATATAAATAGCTGTAATTATTTCAATAAAATCAGTATCTAACAAGCCATTGTTGTACTGTTACAAACTCAATTACCCCCTGCGGTATCACTTCATGTTTGAATAGAGTCTACAGCGCTTAATAGACAGGTATGCTTTCGCTTATGTTGCACTAATGAGAGCTAATAAAATCGAAACCGGTATGGCCATGCCAGAATCAATACAAACTCATAGTATGTATGAATTTACACTTTGTTTTTCGTAGATTCTTTTGGTTTAGTTTGACAAACTGTATTCCAGGGGCAAATGAGGTGCTTGAACCAATAGGCTCTGTTTTTAGGGTAATAGGTAAGGGCGTAGACTTACAAAATACATTCTGCCTAAACCTCCCTAGTTTGAAGTTTCAATGTTACATTAATGTATGTATCACAAGTCAGTGGCCAATTGAAAACATTTTGTACGTCAAATTAATCGATTCAAAATTTTAAAAAAACTTACCAAGTAACCGTCGTACGTCCAACTCCCGAATTTCATAAAACATGTTTGTTCGTCGAACGGGAAATATTCGACGTCGATTTCGCAAAACGATTTATAGATGGCCGGCGGTTTCCAGATCACTTTTCCCGTGTGATGCAGGATCGCTTTGGTCATGATTGTTACCTCGTAGTTGCCGTCGGCGCTGAAAAAGAACAAATCGACGGGAGTTTAGTTGGAGCAAAAACTTATGGGACAAAGTTTTTTTTTAGGGGTTTTGTTTGCCCGGAATGCCGTTCAATTATCGAATGGAACTTCGAGAAGCTTTGTGCTTGGACATTGAATGGAATTACTAAAGAAAATACTGCGAAGTAAATGTGATTGTGAAAAAAAAAATATATACGTATATATATATATATATATATATATATATATATATATATATATATATATATATATATATATATATATATATATATATATATATATATATATATATATATATATATATATATATATATATATATATATATATATATATATATATATATATATATATATATATATATATATATATATATATATATATATATATATATATATATATATATATATATATATATATATATATATGTAGGATTGGTATTTCCATATACCTATGTTCACCTATTTTACCGTTTACCTAATTTATAGTACCTTTGTTAGTTTTAATCAAGTACCAGTATTGATGAGTACCAGTTGTTAGATTGACGAATAAAGTAAGTCTGTCATGAATGTGCTAGAACTGTGTTGTTTCATTCACCCCTAGACAACTACAAAACCCTACATTTTGGGGGCTCAACCGGGATAGAAGGAGAATAAAATACGACGATAGTGATCAATAAAGCTCGATAAAACCGAAGTATTGAATCAAGCAGTGATGGTTGCTTGTAAATGATGTCAGCCTGGATGTTCCTATTGCTGCTATAACGACGAAACCATAGAAAAGTGATTTATATTCTTGATATAGAACGCTCACTTCTGTTGTAGTCGCCCAGTGACATTTCCGACGGTGCTGCCATAGCGGTGTAGTCATTGAACTAATATTTGGCGGGCCGTTTGAATCTCGGTTTCAAATGACTGGTTTGACATTTCAATTATTTCAAAATAAAACAGTGCTCCAAAACTTTATAAACTAAAATTTTATACATTTTATTTTCATATATTTGTGAGAATCACTTAATGAATAAAATAGTCTATAATCTAGATGATTTGGCGTATCTGACTCATAAGCTAACTGAAAAACTTTCCAATTTGATTTTTGAAAATGTCCATTTTTCCATACGAATGACTGTCATATTTGATCAAGTAATTTATAATTCCCTCGAGCATGTATTATGGAGCATCATACAGTGGCACTAGGTTGTTTATCTTCCAACAAAACCAAAATTTCTGTTTCTGTGTTGTTTTTGATGTAGATTTCCCTGGTCTGTGGCTGCAATTCGCTTTTGACCGATTTATTTTTTGCCGCCTGGTCACACATTGTGGCAACAACTCTTAAACCGGCTGCTTGTGATGCACTTATTAATTCTTTCACAGTCTTGGAATTCAAAACAATCAATGACGATGCACTCAACAAATTAATTCAGATGACATATGCATTATATTATGATGTCAAATTGACCTGCGTTTTTATGACTGGTTTTTATATCCACCATTCTATGTCGGTCATTGTCATTTCCTATCCAGTAAATAAAGATAGCTAACTCATCGGTGAAGTGACAGATTAGAATAAAAACGAGGGGGACGTTGAGAAACGGCGATATGGGCGCACAGCGGTGTAGTCATGAACTAAAACAAAAAGCGGAGGGGATGAATCCAGTGAATGTTCTATTTAAGAATTTATAAATCACTTTTCTATGGACGAAACGACGTGGAAGAAGTGCTGCAATATTGGGCGTGACATATAGTCCTGTGAGAGTGCTTTTCACTAAGGTAATTATCAAACATTGATTCTAAGGTGCGAGACATTTGTCAAATTTTTTTTTTTGACATTGATTAATCAGTCAGACTTCAGTGCGTTGGTAAATATAAACCTCGATATAAACTATTTATTGCCAGCTCTAAAAAGTACTTTATTCAGAGAAAAATTTTACTTTCAACACAGATTCCTAATTTTTTTTAACGAAATTTTAAAAAATGGCAACTTTGAAATTAACTTTGAGTGAAATAGGTAATGTTGACTATAATATAACACATGCAAAGTTGAGAGTTATCAAGGTTTTGCACTATATTTGTTTTGCTTCTAACGGAGAGCAGAGAAAGAGGCGAAAGGCTTTGCGCGCGTTTTCTGGATATGATTTTGTTAATCAATCTCCTGAATATTTTGCAAAAGTTGAGGATGTTTCTAAGAATTTTAAGCTTTCTGATTTAACCAGAGTCTGTCAATTATTAGGGTTAAATTTTACAAACGAAAAAGATGTGGTTTGTAGGATTTGTTCATTTTTGACAACCTATTCCTATCCAAACGACGTTGATGAAGGAGACGAAGAGGAGACGGATGAATCAGAGGACGATAGCTCAGATTCTGAGAATGAAGACGAAAGACGTGATGATGAAAGACGTGAAGACGAAAGATGTGAGGACAAAAGACGTGATAACGAAAGACGTGAAGACGAAAGACGTGAAGATCAAAAGCGTGAAGACGAAAGACGTGAAGATGGAAGACGTGAACGCGAAAGATGTGGAGATGAAGATGGTGCAAAAGAAAGACGGAAGAAAGTAGAAAAAATTAACTATGAGAAAAAACAGAAAGACGAAGAGAAGAAGCGCAGATTTGAAGAAAGACGAAAAGACGAAGAAGATAAATGTGCGTATGAAGGAAGACAAAAAGACGAAGAAGATAGACGTGCATATGAAGAAAGACGACAAGACGGAGAAGATAGACGTGCACATGAAGGAAGACGAAAAAACAAAAAAGATAGATATGCCTATGCAGAGAGACGAGAAGACGAAAAAGATAAACGAGAATGCGTCACACGACACAGAAATGAAGACAGACAGAAAAGTGGAGATGACAACTGCAACTATGAAAGACGAAGAATTGAGAAAACAGGAAACTACGATGAAAGACTCAGAGAAGAAGAAGATATTGAACTAAATGAAAGACGAAAATATGATTATTGGCGCAAAGAGGAAATTGTACCAAGATACGACCATAGGCGAGAACAAGAATTTAGGCGATGGCAAGATGAAGAAAGATCGCGACGAGAAGACGACGATGGAGGTTATCGCTATTTGGATACGATATTCAATAAGAAACAAGACTCATTTGCATTAAGTTTTCGAGATGTGGAAGATAGCATTAGGTCTTTCGATGGGAAAGATGAATATCCTATCGAGACGTGGATTATGGAATTTGAAGAAGTGGCAGAAGTCACTGGGTGGAACGAACTCCAGAAGTTAATTTACGCGAAGAAATGTTTGAAAGGCCTCGCAAAACTTTTCATACAATCTGAAAAAGGAATACGAAATTGGTCAACCCTAAAACAAAAACTCATTGAAGAATTCGGAGTTAGCGTAAACAGTGGAACAGTGCGCAAATACATAAAATGCTATCAACAAGAAGAAAAAAATATGATGAAACTGTGCAAGAGTATATGATTAAGATGAAAGAAATGGCAAGTCGCGCGTACATAGAGCCTGAGGTGGTCATAGAATACATAATTGACGGAATTCAAGACTATTCGTCAAATAAGATGGTGTTGTACGGAGCTAAAAATTTTACTGATTTGAAAGAAAAAATTAAGCTGTATGAACGAGTTCAGAAGAAAGCTAATCTACACGGACAATCTTCTAAAATAAAGAGAGAGAATTTCAAAAAGAATGAAGATAGAATAGAATAGTACAGCTAAAAAAGAGAATTATGATGTTAGAAAAGAAAAAAAAATCACTTGTTTCAATTGTGGGGGTCAGGGTCATAAATCAAATGCTTGTCGTGATAAGACAAAGGGAACGAAGTGTTTTAGCTGCAATAAGTATGGGCATGTTTCCAGTAAATGTTCAAATAGAAACCAAGCAAATAGTAGCGCAGGGAGTTCAAGCGTTAATTTGATGTGTGAAACAGAACGAAAAAACACCCTTAAACTTACAATTGATGGAATAATATTAACTGCTTTATTTGACACTGGAAGCGATGTCTGTACAATAAGGGAAGACGTGTATGATGAATATTTTTCAGATACTGAATTAATATCCGATCTCATAGTATTGAAAGGACTTGGAGAAAACGCAAAAATAAAAACATTGGGATCTTTTAAAATGCAAGTCGGCATAAATGACGAAAAATTTGAAGTTAAATTCAATGTTATCCCCCAATTATCTACTTCTTTCAAAGCTATAATTGGAAACAATATTTTGAGGCAAGCTACTGTACATATCAATGAAGACGGGATAATGATATACAAGAAATTAGACCAAAATTTTACCATGCACATTATAACAGAAGATCCTAAGGAATCAGAAATTGTAGTAGAACATATAGAAGACAAAAATCAAAGAGAGATAATTAGGAAATTGATTGATGATTACAAGCCGGAAAAAACGAAGACAACAGATATTGAGATAAAAATATTACTAAAAAGCGATGAACCAATTTACCAAAGACCAAGACGACTATCAGTACCTGAAAAAGAAGAAGTGGATAGACAGAACCAAGAATGGCTAAAAGACGGTATTATCAAAACAAGCTGTTCGGATTTTGCAAGCCCAATTGTTTTGGTGGGAAAAAAGGATGGCCGAACAAGAATTTGTTGTGATTATCGCAAATTAAATAAAAATGTCATTAAAGATAGGTTTCCACTACCGCTTGTTGAAGACGTACTTGACAGTTTACAAGGTGCGAAAATATTCAGTACTATAGATTTGAAGAATGGGTTCTTCCATGTCCCTGTTGAAACTAGCAGTACTAAATATACTTTCTTTGTAACACCGAGTGGACAGTATGAATTTTTAAGATGCCCTTTCGGATTATGTAACAGCCCTGCAGTGTTTCAACGGTTCATAGCTCATATTTTTAGAGAATTGATGGCGAAAAAATATGTTATCTACTATATGGACGATATTATTATCTTGAGTACTAATGAAGAAGAAGGGATAGAGAGATTAAGAGAAGTATTGGATTTAGTTAAAAAGTATGGATTGGAAATTAAAAAGAAAAAATGTCAGCTGCTTAAAAGAACAGTTGAATTTTTAGGGTTTATAGTGGAGAATGGGAAAATTAAACCAGGTGAGGCAAAGATTTTGTTTATTAAAAAATTTCCGGAACCGACCACTTTCAAGCATATTCAATCTTTTTTGGGACTTACAGGATATTTCCGAAAATTTATAGCTGGATATGCTAATATTTCAAGGCCGTTAAGTGATCTATTGAAGAAAAATGAAGTTTTTGTATTCGGAGGTGCACAGAGGAAAGCTTTCCAGATTTTGAAAGAAAAATTAACAGGTTCACCAGTTTTGCATATTTATCAGCAAGGGGCTTATACAGAGTTACACACTGATGCGAGGATACATGGCTATGGAGCATGTTTGTTGCAAAGGTCTAGTGAAGATTCGAAAATGCATCCGATATATTATTATAGTAGAAAAACGACACCTGCAGAACACAAGTATACTAGTTACGAGTTGGAAGTACTTGCTGTTATCAGACGGTAAAAAAATTTAGAATATATATATTAGGAACAAATGTGAAAATAGTCACAGACTGTGACGCTTTCAAGAAAACTATGGAAAAGAAGGATCTCACAACAAGAGTAGCTAGATGGGCTCTATTATTAGAAGAATACAATTATACAATTGAGCATAGGAAAGGTATCCAAATGTCTCATGTAGATGCTCTAACCAGATACCCTACAATTTTAACAATTGCATTAGAAGAAGGTGTGGTACACAAATTAAAACAAGCTCAGGAGAAAGATGAACACATAAAGACTATAAGAAGAATTTTAAGTACTGAAGAGTATGAAGATTTTTACTTAGAACATGAGATACTATACAAATATGAAAATGGCTTGAAGTTACTAGTAGTACCAAAGAAAATGCAGACTGAAATAATTAAAAAAGCTCACGAGATGGGTCACTTTTCTACAAAAAAGACAGAAGAAGTTATAAATAAAGAGTTCTACATACCAAAGTTGAAAGAAAAAATTGAAAATTTAATTTCAAACTGTATACCTTGTATTTTGGGAAGAAAAAAAAGAGGGAAAAAAAGAGGGGATGCTTCATCCTTTGCCAAAGCTAGAAGGACCATTAGAAACGTATCATGCGGACCACTTAGGTCCCATGCCATCAACAAACAAAAATTACCACCACATATTGGTAATTATTGATGATTTCACAAAATTCGTATGGCTCTACCCGACAAAGTTGACGACTTCGAAAGAAGTTCTAAACTGTTTTGAGAAACAACGAAAAATTTTTGGCAATCCATCAAGAGTGATAACAGACAGGGGAACTGCTTTTCGTTCAGATGAATTTGATACCTACTGTCAGAACGAAAACATTAAACATATTTTGACAACATGTGGAGTGCCACGAGGCAATGGACAGGTCGAAAGAATTAATAGAACTATTATTCCTATTCTTACGAAACTAAGTTTAAATGACCCTACAAAGTGGTACAAGTATGTCGATAAAGTACAGATGGCATTAAATTGTTCATACCAACGAAGCATAGGCACCACACTATTTGAAGTGTTGGTTGGTGTGAAAATGAAAAATAAGGAAGATCTACGAATTAAAGAAGTTATAGAAGAAGAAGTAATAAAAAATTTCGAGGAAGAGAGAAGAGAGATGAGAGAAAAAAGTAAGGATCAAATTAGAAAAGTACAGAGTGGAAACAATAAAGGATACAATTTAAGGAGAAAAAAGGCTACAATGTATAAGGAAAAAGACTTAGTGGCCATAAAAAGAACGCAATTTGGTCCTGGACTCAAATTAAAAAGGAAGTTTTTGGGGCCTTATGAAATTGTGAAGGCTATGCCAAATGACCGTTATGATGTTGTGAAAGTCGGTAACCACGAAGGACCAATTCGAACATCAACATGTGCTGAATATATCAAACGGTGGATCGAATATGACAGCGACGAATCCGAGTCGGATTCTGAGCAGGATGGCCGAGTGTAGGATTGGTAATTCCATATACCTATGTTCACCTAGTTTACCGTTTACCTAATTTATAGTACCTTTGTTAGTTTTAATCAAGTACCAGTATTGATGAGTACCAGTTGTTAAATTGTTATGAGAGTGATTGACGAATAAAGTAAGTCTGTCATGAATGTGCTAGAACTGTGTTGTTTCATTCACCCCTAGACAACTACAAAACCCTACATTTATATTTTTTTTTGTGAAAGTTTTCAAGTTTGGACACTTGCGAAAACGTTTGAACAGAGTTCAAATAACTATTTTCCCTGGAATGTTTTCGAATCTTTATGAAAGATATATTGGCAAAATGCATTAACATATTAGTTTTATGTGCTATCCAGTGAACATTTGAAGCGAAATATCCCTAGAGAAATATAGCCTCTAATGAACGTAATATAGTTTGAAATCTTTCGTAATTTCTGATGACTATTTATCCACAACTCTCATGCTCCAATCTACGTTTCAAACTCACATATTCAAAAAGATCTCTCTTACAAAAAAGAGTGCCCGTATGGCATCTACGCGAGCACATACTCTCTTCATTATTCAAAAATGTAATTTTCCCGGTTAGCAGAAAGGTGAAACACCGACGGTATTCCAAACAAAGCCCGCACGTTTTGCATAGGGCGCAACACGATTTTTTGATTAAAAATGAGTCTGTGTTTTTGCTGCAGCAGACGGCTGCGCTGGCAAGTGAGTTTGCATTTTTATAAAAACGTGTTGGCTTAAAATGTTTGTCTTTATACAAGTTTGACCGTTGAGAATATCAAACTCCCAATATTTTTACTTACTTGTTATATAACACTATGTCGGGTAACCATATGTGTTCTGAAGGGACGTGCAACGTTTCTACACCACCGTAATCGTCAGGATTCCATTTTAGTTTATAATCATTCCATTCCTAATAAAGAAACATTTAAATTTTCATAAATTTTCAATAAATATTAGTCTCATACCTGCTCAACCCAAACATTAGTCGTCATAATTTGACTCTTCAAGTTCTGAAACAAAACATCCATCCATTATTTTATTTTTTCAGATTGAATTTGTGTCATAGATTCTCAAATAGGGTCGTGCCCTGTCTCTGTAAACTAAATTTCGATATTTAGGCCACGTACGCGAGTTCCAGGCTGAATCGGAGTTTGCTTCAAAATGACGGCCTGCGTATATCTCTTTTTCCGCAGGAGTTAATAATATTATTTAGCTTGGAGAAATTAGCCACAGTACACAGTTACAGTATTGTTTGATATATAAAATATTTTAATTAATAGTTTCCAGATTTTAGTATCCGGTAAATGAAACGTATTCAAATTAATTTGATGTTGCTTTTTGAAGCGGTCACTTTCAGGTTTTAATAGGTCTGTCAAAACCTTGCAAATTGGATTCCTGATTTTAATCACGTATGCCCAATATAACGTTCATGCTTCTGTGAATACATAATTGACGTATGTATAATACGCATTTATCAGTTGAAGCCTGAAGAAGCAAACAGCAATTTACTGATGTTTACCTTTATCGATGTTCTGTATACAATGTTAAAAAATAAACAAACAGCAAAGGAAGTTATGGATACATTGAGCAATACTTATACAAGAAAAAGAATATCTACACAGGTTGTTTTGCAAAGAACTTCAAGGGGCTCGCAATTTATGGAGAATAGAACGTTAAATGAATTTTTAACGGAATTCGAACAGACAATTTGTGAAATTGAAGGTGCTGGAGGTACTGTGGATGATAGTCCATGATTTTGCATTTATTATCTGCTATGCCTAAGTCTTTTCAGTCATTGACTACAGCTATTGACATCATGTTCTGTCAGAATCAGTCAGCAGTTACACTTGAGTTTGTTGAATTATTGATCGAAGAGGCTCGTCAGAACAAAACAAGAGAAGAAAGTGACCAAATCTTGCGTTTGTGGGATTTAAAGGAAAAAGCAGACCAGGATATTCTTCTAGAGATTTTGATGCCGGTATGTCACGGAACCTGCAGAAAAGTAGCAGTAATTTTTCATTTATATGCCCTTCTTGATTACATAAAATCAAGAAGGGCATAAACGGTTAGAATGTCTACAGAGAAGGTAAAATTATTATGAAGGAAACCAGAGTGGCTTTCGAGCAACCGAGTAGGGTAGTCTGGATACCGAGGTAGTATCTAATTCTGGATATCGAGGTGGCTACTCAGGTAACAGAAGTGATAGAGGCAATTTCAATTCGAATTTTACTAATAAGGGCAGACACAATGCTCAAAACATACACAGAAAATGTTGAAAATGAGGATAATGCTATATCTTTTTTAAGTACGTTTCAAAGAACCGATGACGATAGTCACAACGACCAATATGCAAATATGTCTAATACAGAAATTGTGAAATTTGTGGTTGATAGTGGAGCAACAAATCATTTAATACGGCAAGATTTTGGCAAAAATATACTAAATGGAAGGAAAGTGTGTCAGAAGATAAATGTTACAAAACAGGGGAAGACATTAGAAGCCAAAGTAGAAGGTGATTTGTTTTTGAAAACCAATTCAGGTAAGCCCCTAAAAATGAAAAATGTATGGGTTTGTGAAAATCTGCTATATAATTAGCTGAGTGTTAAAAAATTGGAATAGAGTGGACTGGAAGTAATATTCAAAGATGGAAAAGTAAGCGTATTGAAAAACTGTGTTGAATTATTTCAAGGAACTTTAAATGGAAACTTGTATGTTGTTAATTTTCATTGTAATTGTGAAGGACATAGTGTAACACCGAGTGCAATACTTACCAGAGACAATGACCTGTTAATGCATCGGAAAATGGGTCATTCGTCAAGATATCCAGCTCCAGGATTATGTGAAGTATGTTCACAAGGTAAACAAACCAGATTGAAATTTTTGCAAGAAAGGCAAGACAAAAAGGCAGAAAGAATATTGGACATTGTTTCAAGTGACACATGTGGTCCAATAAACCCTACAACTTATGATGGTAAGCGATATTACTTTTCATTCATTGATCATAATTCTCATTTTTGCATTTGTTATTTAATCAAAAATAAAAGTGAGGCTTTAGAAAATTTAGAAATTATATATCAATGGTTGAAGCAAAATTCAATTATGGAAATTTGTAAATTAAGATGTGACAATGGAGGAGAGTATACTTCTCGTGAGTTTCAGGATTTTTGCAAAATAAAAGGAATATTAATTCAGTCAGTATAATATTGCCTACAATCCTGAGCAAAATGGGGTTGCTGAGCGCTTTCATCTTTCAATAATGAAAAAAGCTCTATGTTTAATTTTTGATTCGCAGCTTGAAAAATATTTATGGGGTGAAGCTGTTTTAACATCAATATATTTAATAAATAGGACAATGAGTAGAGCACTGAATGACAATAGAACTTCAGCTGAAATTTGGCATCGAGAGAAGCCTTATTTTGAGAAAATTAAACTTTTTGGTTGTATAGCAGATAATCATGCTAATAATAAGGAATTAAGAAAATCAAAATTAGATTGACATCGTGAAAAATTAATTATGATCGGATATGCAAACAATGGATATAGACTCTGGAATCCCAATCAAGTCAAGGTTATTCATGGAAGGAATGTTGTTTTCGAAGAAACTAAAGAATTAAAACAACCAAAAGTTTATATAGAAAATAATCCAGAACAACAGGAAAATAAAGAAGAGGAAATTGAACAAGAAACAGATGGAAATAAAGTGGAAGGAAATTTGACAACAGAAAAAGTTGGAGAAGTGGAACAAACAAATGAAATACCAAACATAAGAAGAAGTTCACGAAATAAACAACTATCAAGAAGATTACTAGACTATGATCTTGAAAATGACGAGTTCAATCTTTTCACAGCATTATCAACTGGAAACTTATTAGATGAAATGCCACAGACTTATGCAGATGCTGTAAGAATACATACATGGGAACTAGTTTTGCCTCCTGAGAATGTCGAAATTATTGACTCAAGATGGGTTTTCTGTGAAAAAGTAGTGGATGGAAAAGTGAAAAAGAAGGCGTGATTAGTGGCTCGTGGATTTGAGCAGAGTGCATTCAGTGAAGACGTATATGCACCTGTATCACGTATGTCTAGTATAAGAATAATGTTGTCTTTATTCATTGAATATGATTTGTAAGTAATTCAACTTGGCATGAAGTCAGCCTTTTTGAATGGTACTTTGAAAGATCCAGTTTTCATGTAACCTCCAGAAGGTTTAGAAGTTAGTAATAAAAATTTAGTGCGTAAATTGAAAAAGGCACTTTATGGTTTACGTCAAGCACCAAAATGCTGGAATTCATTATTTAATGAATATTTAATGAAGTTGGATTTTCCAAGATCTAACAAAGACCCTTGTTTGTATTTTTGTCATCAAATTTTTCTTTTAATCCATGTAGATGATTTGATCATATTTTCTGAAACTCAAGAAAATTTGGATTCTATAAAAATGAATTTGCCTAAAAGATTTAAAATGAGAGAGTTAGGAAACATGATGAAACTGAATTTTCTTGGATTTCAAATTGAGAGACGAGTTGATGCGTTCTATATTAAACAGACTTATTTGATAAACAAAGTGTTATGTAAATTTGGTATGGATAATTGTAGACCTCATGATGTACCAATGCAGCCTAAACTACAGTTAAAAAACATTAACAATACCTCAAATGAGAGTTTTCCTTACAAGGAATTTATAGGCTCACTGATGTTTATAATGTTGGGTTCTAGGCCGGATTTGAGTTTTTGAGTAAACTATTTCAGTCAATTTCAGAATTGTTTTGATATTGAACATTGGAATCATCTTAAACATATTTTGAGATATTTGAAGCAAACTAAAGATTACGGTTTGAAATTTTTAAAATCAAAGGATTCTAATGTTCAATTAGGTGCATATGTAGATGCTGATTTCGCAAATGAAATTACAGACAGGAAAAGTATTTCTGGATTTGTGATTAAAATGAATCAAAATATTATTGATTGGAATTGTGATATTTCCTTAGGGGTCCAGATCAGGAATGAGGAAATCCGACGAAGAACTAAAGTCGTAGATATCGTGAAGCGTATACATACATATCTCGGAGGGATCTCATCTCGGAAAGCAAATGGCTGTGGGTGGGGCATGTGTTCAGACAGAACCATGACAGTTGGACCGAGCGAGTAACACATTGGCGACCAAGACAAACCAAACATAGTGCAGGCAGACTTCAGAAAAGGTAGCTGGACTATATCAAACATATTGCGGGGAAAAGATTGTTCCAAACAGCACAAAACAGAAAGGCATGAAAACGGATGAGAGAGACCTACGTTCAGAAGTGGACAAATGAAGGCTGAAGAAGAACTAAATCGGTTGACAAGTCGTTAGGTATTGAAAATTCCGGTTACTTAGGAAACGCGAGCTTCAGTCGCCGTTTAAAAAAATAACCTACAACCGATTTAAAGTGGGCGACCGTACTTAATCGGTTTTTACTTTTCAAGTTAATGCGATTTTGGTTGTCGGTGGTTATATTTAATGACGTCACTAACAAGCCCTTTGCAACCTCATCGTTTGACATTTCTATAACCGGTATTTAACATTTACCCGCCTCAGGAGCAGGGTTATTACTATCTCCCTTATCAAATTAAAAAGAAAATACGCGGGAATCGCCAAATTGCCAAAATAGTCCCAGGGCCCAGTCAGGTGCCGGTCAACATCCGTTTTCTATGTTGTGAGGATCCACTGGATCCAGTATCCAGTTATTTAAAAAATGTAATGTTGTTACTGATTGCTGCACGCTGAAGCTGCCATAATGGAAGGATCCCAGCATTATTAAATATCACTCAATTTTGAAGGAAACGGGAAACGACATAACAGTGTCTGTGAATGATATAGTCTCGGGAACCTTATTGCTTACAGCTTTCGACAGCTATCTAACTTTAAAAAATTTAAAAGCGATCTTGTACATTAACACATCATCAGAACCAGACCAGAACGTTGATCCGTTCTACCACCGGTTATAAGTGCGCTTGATGTCAATACCTTTCC